AAACACACCATAACTATGTAAACATAGACTAGTAAAATATTTATACCTTACTAAAATTATATGTATAGATGTTATTTTCCTCATTTTTCTTTCATTTATAAGGGAGTGATTTTTTTATATGAAAGAAAGGAATAGAAAATGAGAGAAAATGTTTTTTTAAAAAAAGAAATTAAAAATATTATTTATTTTATTTTTAAAATAATATAAATATTGTCTAAAATATATTTTTTACTAAAAAAATTAACCAATCAAATAATATTAATGTCTAAATTATTAATACATTAATCATATTCGTGACCCTTGTCAAAAAAAAAAATAATTCGAATATTTTTTAAAATCATAAAAATAAAAACGAAATCGAATCAAAATAAAAAATATTTAGCTAGCTCGAATTGAGACCTAATCGAAATAGATATGTTTCCTCAATCCACACCCTCTTGGATCGAGAATCGGACCAAGGCTTTTGGTCTAATCTGACCCGGACTAAACGGGCCGAAACAGCCCGATTTTTTTTCGATCCGGACTTCGAAATGAGCACCCCTTCATACCTTCATGATTCTAATTTCAATTAGCATACAATAATCCAAAAATTAGCTCGAGCATAATCCATGAGGTTACATACATTAAGAACAAATGGAAATTTCAAAAGGCTCCAAATATTTACATTTCTACTAAATAAGTAAATTACATGTAAAGCCAATAAACTACTATTTCTTTTTTACAAAATAAACACAAAATTAACCCATATAATGATAATAACAATAATACCCTTAAAACTAAAGCAAACAAAAAATTACCAAAAGGGTTAATTTAGACATTTAACACAATCAATAAACCTTCTTAGTGAAAAAATTACGCAGACTGAACAAATTATTACCGCCACTGGTATTCCCAACATTAGTGGAAGTATTACCAATATTGCTATTTCCACCACTGATGTTGCTATTGCCACTCACTTGTATGGCGCTGCCGACGTCACTCCCGCAGCTCAAGCGGCTACGGTAACCTATACACGTTGGCACGTTCAAATTCAATACCTTGGCATTTATACTGCCACTCCCCGTTTTACTATTGCGACTCTCGGTAACGTCTTTTTTACCGATCGGTTTTTCACCGTTCCGAACCACAGGTTCGGATGAGGGGTTCTTGGGAACCGAGCCCGTCCGCCGTACCTGCCAAACGGGACTGCTCCGACCCAGATGGACACCCGCCCGACCCGGGCTACTTGGCCACTTCCTGGACTTCGACTCGCCGGCTGAATTACTCCGGGAACAAGGGGCGCTGCTCACCTTTCGGGTCCCCGGAGCTCCGAACGTCATTCTGGGTCGGGTCCCGCCGTTCCCGGCGGATCTACTCCTCGAAAACGGCCATATGTTGATGTTTAACTCAGCTGAAGCCGAACTCACTCCGGTCTGACTCTTCTTCTCTTTCTTCTTTTCTTTCTCTTTCTCATCCGGGTTTCTCTGGGTTTTCTTATCACTCTTCTTGAAGATATCTTTCCATCTCTTCGACGCGGTTAACAAGGAAGCGAGCGGCTCGGAGGATAAGTTTGGACTGAGGCCAGACTCGGGTTCTGGGCCCGGACCGACCGAGTTGGAGAGGTCGGGGTTTTGCGGGTCCGGGTCGGGGGGTTCAGGAGGACGGTGGGGGAGGAGGTGGAGAGGGAGGAGGACGCCGTGGAAGAAAAGCTCGTCGGCGGATAGGAGATTGGGAGGAGGAAGAGAAGGGTTTCGGACTCTCCAGAACTCAAACTCGGGCGAGTTGGGGTCGGGACTGGCGGTTCTTCCTCCGGCGGTGCATGGTGTGAGAGTATGTGGTTGTGTCTTGTTGCGCAGAAAATCCGGGGTTTCCATGTTGTGCAGAGAGATGTGAAAGAGAATGAGAGGACAGAGATGGTGTGAGGAGAAATTTCTTTGTATCCTAAGAACACACAGTGAGAGAGAGAGAGAGAGAGAGAGACCCTACAAGAGCATTTAGAGCTGAGAAGGTGGGTGCATTATGGGTGTGTGTAAAGAGAGTGTAAAATGTTGGGACAAGAAGGGTAAATTATTAAAAAAACTGAGGGGTAAAAAGTGAAAAAACTGTAAATATATATATATATATAATTTATTTATATTATATATAAATATATTATTTACTCACTTATAATTTTCTTTCTATTTTCCCTTCGTGCCTTTTTTTTTTCAAAGCTCATTTTGTGCCGAAACTAAGAAGTCAACCACGAAGAAGATTTCAAAGTTGAAAACTTTCCCCTTTCAGTTCCACACTCCACATGCAAAATTAAAGAGTGTAACATATTGCGGTGGTGGGTACCACTTAATCTCATCGGCACAATTACGAAAACTTTTTTTAATATAATTATTACAAAATATTTATATAATTTAATAATAAATTAGATATTTATAATGGGTTATCTTATTTCATCATAATTTAATTTCTGTAAATTTTTTATGACATCATTTTTACGATTTTTAAAGCCATTTCTTATTCATTTAATCGTACGGAAAAATTAATAAACTAATAATTTGTGGTTCCTGGATATTGGAGTTCGATACGTGCTGATAAAATTTTATTAAGAGGAAATGAAAGTGGGTTGACCTTGGTGTGTGTCTTACCCCCAAAGTGACGTCGTATCATGGTGACATGTGGGGGTTGCTCCCCATTAATGACCCCTCTCTTCGTTGTTCGTAGCGGGCAACCGCCACCATCATTTGGCAATCGACACGTGGCAAGCGTAGAGCTATGTGTGTGTATACATATATATATATATATTTTTTTTTTCATTTGTCACGTTTAAAAATGTATATACCAATATTCACCCTATACCTTAAAATACGCTTTATTTATTTGTCTTTATTTTAAATGATCGTATAAAAATATAATTATTAAAGAATTTTATAATAAAATAATATAAAATTATTGAATTTTTTTAATAAATAAATTTAATAATAATTTTACTATACGTAATATATTACCAATTTATAAATCTATTTAAAATAATTAAATTAAATTAAATTTTAATACATCGAATTAAATTATAAACTTAATATGTGTATATATCATTATAGTAAACAAATCATTAATATAATAATTAACAAATTACTTTAAATAAATTTTTTATCAATATAGTAATCGAATAATCATTGAATTAAAAATGTGAAAAATATTAATTTTTAAATTACATATAGAAATTAATTTAAATTTATGACGACCCTTAAAAAAGTATTATTGTATTAGATAAAAATTTAGCTTTTGATTTTTGATTTTTAATTTTACATAAGTAAAAAAATATTACATGTATTAAAGATTAATATAAAAATAATTTCTATTAATTTAATTAAATTATAAAAAGTAAAATAAATTTTCTTAGTCGTAATTTCTCAACCACTAATTACCACGGTAAAAATTTGAAACCACGACCACCCTACGAACAAGAATTGAAACGTTTAACCTTGCGGTAAAAAGTAAAAAAAAAAAAAAAAGAAACGTATTGATGTAAATTGGCGTTTGGTCGGAGGGAAAATTACGCGGAATTTGAAGGAGAAAACGGCATTATTTCATTGAGGAAACGGGCCCCGCACAAACGCGGCCCCTACATATTTCCTCTCTTGACGGTAACCGCCTTGTCTGTCACTTTAGCCTTTACCTCCTCTATGCGGCCGCAGAGCCATGATCCAGTACAACTGCGGACCACCTGTGCCTGCGTGATGCCAAATTTAGGCTCGTTTGTTATTCAAATCCGATCAAAATTTAAAATTTTGGATTTAATATTAATGGGTTTTGGCAGCCTGTGACAGGCTAAAATTGGGCACATGCTAGCGCGCGCGTATATATATATAATTTAATATATTATATATTTTTTTATTTTTTTATTTTAAATTGTTAATTCTCTTTAATTTCTTCATTTAAAAATTTTAAAATAATTAGTTCGTATTTGAACACTTTAAAAAATAACACATAAAAGATTTTTAGAATTATTATTTTTTAATTAAATATTATTTAATAAATTTAGCTTTTTAATTAAAAATTAAAGAAAATTCAACTTTTAAATTTCATAATAAAATTTTGGAAATTAAATTATAAAAAGACTAATATTAATTTTTCCTATATATTATTTATACAGGTAAAAAAAAAAAAATTGAAGAGAAAGAAAACACATGAGATATGAAGTGGGGAAATGTTGGATGAATAAGATTGAATATGCATGATGGGTTTCCATCAATTGATGAACAATTAATTGTGTCAACTTCTTTTATTTGATTTCCAAAATCATATGGGGATTAACTTAATATGGAAATTAATTAAATATCCACCAATAATGATCCAATATATTTAAATTATATTATATTTATATAGTTCATAATTTTCTAATTTTTTTCTTTTTTTTCTTAATAAATAGTGAAATTTGAAGATAAATATCGATCTCTATATTATCAAATCACGTGATGTTGAAGGTATTATAAAAAAAAAAAAAAATCTTAATGATTGGATTGTTGGCGGTATGCACAACCTTAACATCACTAGTTCATTAGAAGCTAAGCTTCGTGAGGTTTTATAATGTCTAAAGCTTGTATTGGAAATGAGCTATCTTCATATTTTGCGTTAAAATATTTATATCTCATATATTTACCGTGAAAATAATACTTATGTTGATCAATTAGTTTTATGAATCAGCAATTCACTTATTGTATTTTTTAAATTGTCTCATACTTTTTAAAAATTATACATGCACATTTACTTTGGTCACTATGATATGATGTATGATCAATTAATCGAGTTTTATACTCTATTTGAATCGTAGTAAATGATATAATTTTAATGTATGATATTTTACGGATGTGAGAAAATTATATTTGTTTGAACTTCCAATAGTAATAAACGGCATATGGTTGATAAATTTGGGATAATGAACTTTAAAACTACCAAATCGGTGGTATGTGAATGCTAAGTTACTTTTTTTTTCTTTTATATTTTAATATAATATACTTAATTTTATTTTTATTATCATAATTTATTATTTATTTTATTATATGTAAAAATTTAATTTGTAATAATTATTTATTTAAATACAAATATAATTATATTGATAAATAATTTAATTTTTTATTATATATTTTTTATATATTACTTACTATTACATAAATAAGTAGGGATAGATTTATAATTTAACTGAAAATATATTCATAACTGTAGCGCCCGGGAAATTGAAGAAGAAAAAAAAAAAGGAGAAGACACGTCAGCAGCCACGTCAGCAGACCCAGTCAGCAGTCCCGGCCAACCGGGACGGGCCACGTGGCAAGACCACGTCGATCCGGGACGGGCCACGTTGGCGATCCGCGTATGCGCGATCGGACGGTCCAGATCAAGTGTGCTATCGGACGGCCCATATTCAATCAAAAACGGACGGCCATATTAAATCAAAATGGACGGCTGAGATCAAAAGGCAAAAGGGTATAAATAAGACTCCCACACCAGACCACAAAACCCTAGCCGCCTGCCATCGCCGGAGAAGACGAACCAGAAGCCGGCCGCCGCCACCCGCCGCCGCACCGGAGAGATTTTCGATCGCCGATCGAGGTAAATTTCATACCCCGACTCGTTTTTCCACGCTAATTTTTCCTGTGGCC